TAAGTTAGATAACTAAATAATATATTATGTAAATTGAGATAATTTTGAAAGTCAATCCACAGCTAAGAAGAAAGCGATAGAAAACCCATACTAACATGAGCAATTTGGGGCTTGGTTAGCATGGTCTCACAGTTCATAAAAATCACTTCCTATAAACCACCTCCTCTCTTTATGCTTTGGGCAGTGCTAAGCACTGGCCTTGCAGAGATTAGCACAGCTATCCATTCCATTGCCTAAAGATAAAAGCTGAAGGACCATGAGACTTTTTACACATAGCATTCAGTCATTTTAAAATCTAAACCTAATAATTCAGCACTAAAAAAAAACATACCAATACCAATCAAGTTTTCCCTCACCTATTTTGGAAACAGATAAATAAAGCCATTTGTGATACCCTCCAAACATGTTTACTCCATTAGTGCTGTAAACTTTTTTTTAAGCCTGTGGTCTCATAGTTTGGCAACAACTTGAAGACTGTCCAGTAAGCAATGACAGGAGGGAAAAGGAGGGAGAAGGGGAATTGCATGGATGGTGGAAGGAGACCCCCATCATTATACAAACTACATGTATGAAGATGTGAGAAAAAAAAAAAAAAAGAATAGCGTTACCTTAGATTAGGTAGGGAGAAGTGATGGGAGGGGAGGGGATGAGATGGGGAGATAAGAAGGATAGTAGAATGAAACAGACATTATTATTACTGTGTGTATATATGTGATTTCATGACCAGTGGGATTCTGCAACCTGTATACTCAGAAAAATGAGAAATTATATCCCATCTGATTCAAATGTATGATATGTCAAGTCATTGTGCCTCAGTTTCCTTCCCTGAGAATAAAACTTAATATGTGTAACTAATTAAAGCAAATTTTTAAAAAAGAGAAATTCATCAATTTTCTCTGTAGTTTACTTATTCTTTACTACCTTAAAATATTGTTCAGATATTTTTAATTTCTTCATCTGAAAATACCAACATATACTGTTGAATTTTTTTCTATTAAAGCAAAATTTTCCTGCTACTAGTTCCATTATAGCAGCTACATAATAAATCCTATTTTTTAGAAATATTTAGAAGTATTGTACTGCAGAGTATAATAACTTTTATCTCAGTGTCTTTTTCTTTAGAAAACTCATTAAGTGCTTTATAATGTTAACTCAATTCACACATCTAGTACTAGATTATTATTAAGTTTTATTTTCAGGGAAGGAAACTGAGGCACAAAGATGCCCAAGATCACCTAGCTACTGTGGTAGAGCTGCCACGTGCACCCAGGTGACCTAGTTCTAGGTTCTGTGTTCTCTATCAGTTTTCTGCCTCCTGGGTTACCTTTAGTAACTAACCTTGTCTGTGAGTACTGTATTTCACTGCATAATCATTGCCACTGCATTAACATATATTTTTACTAGTATTCCATGCATCCTAAACTTGCACCAAAGACAGTTTAGTAATACATTGTTTTTTTAATAATACTGGAACATTTTTTTAAAAGCTTCACTTAATTTTCACACCCCACTTTTTTGCAAAAATAAATAAAAATAAAGACAAAATCTGAAATGATTATGCAGTGAAATACCATAGTATTAGCGCCCCTGAGCACCCATCTCAAAAATAAGAAAATTAAGATTGTGACAGATAATTTGTCTAGGTCCAAAGTGACTATGTTGAGTTGGAATTTAAATTCTGTTATTTTGTTTCTGTCCCTAAATGCTTTACTAGTCTAATATGGAACTATGGTGTAGCAAATATTCTATTATTTTTTATGTATAAGGGCAAGAGATTAGTGTGTCAAGAACAATGGTAAATTATAGTGATAATAATGAATACTTTTAATCTTGCTTTTCATCAATCAATTTTCTTAGAAAGTCATTTATTGCAACAATATTTGAAATATATTAGCATATAGTTGCACAATGATAATTTTATGATTATTTTACAATTACTTTCTTATAGTTATATTCCCTTTACTCCTCTGTATTTTGACTAATAAATGTTCTTYTAATTTTTTTCTATTATTTCATCTACTATACAAATAGTTTTTCATTTTATTTTTATTTTACCCAAAGAAACAATTTTAAGATGTATCAGTTTTACGCTTCTTAATGTTTAGTGAGTTACTTCTTTATTGTTTTGATATCTCCCACTTAAATTCTTTCTTTCTTTTTTGAAATTTACAAAAGCCTTTATTGCATCTAAATTATAAATCAATATTTAAAATCATTTGTATTTCTTTTTGTAAATCTTATTTATTTTACTAATTTTTTATTTATATATGACAGCAGAATGCACTGTGATTCGTATTACACATATAGAGCACAAATTTTTCATATCTCTGGTTGTATACAAAGTATATCTTTCTTTTTTCTTTTTCCTTTTTTCTCTTTTTGGAAATGCTTTTACACTATTGCCAGAAGCTTACTTCTCTGTCTTCTGTAGCCATCTTACTTCTTCCTAGCCATCCTCTTCTCTTGCCTTTCTTTCCTTCACTTCTCAAAGTCTGCACACAGTGGCCTTCTTGATCTCTTAATAAGCAAACTAATTCTTGCCTCTGAGCTTCTGCAGTCTTTTCTATCAGAATTTACTGCTTTTCTGGCCACTTCACTCTCACTGTTTCGTTCTTGCAAATACTGCCATCTGGAGAGCCTTCCCTGACACTCCAGCCAGGGCATCTACCCCGACCGGACTCAATATCATTCCAGTGATTTTGCTCTATTTCATTTTCTTCATAGCTGCTATCACCACTTAATAATTATATTTTAATTTGTTGGGTTACATTTTAACTGTGAGTTTCCCCAAACCAAACTCTATAATTAAGAGAATATATATCTGTTCTTTACACTGTATTTCTAGCACCTAAAACAATGGCTAGTGCTTAAAAATAGGTTACTAAAATTATTCTTATACTTGTTACTATTATTTCTTAAGGCATGTTTTAATTTTCAAGTTTTACTTATTTTAATAATAATTTTTATTTTTAATATTTTATACATTTGTTATTAATTTTTAAATATTAAATTTAATAATTAGAGGTGATCTTAGTATTTCTTTTAATATTTAAAATGAACTTACTTGCAATTATTAGTTAAATATATATAAAAAATCTACTAAGGGTATCAGCATATAACATTGAAATAAACTACCTCTTGGGGGCAAGGGAGGCATGGGGGAATGTTGGTCAATGTGTGGTAGTTAAATAGGAACAAGGAGTTCTGATGTGCTACTGCACAACAGGGTGACTACAGATAAAAATATTGTCCTGTATATTTCGAAAACTTATAAGAAAGGATTTGGAATATTTTCATCATAAAGAAGTGACACAGTTTTGATGAGATAGATATGTTTAACCTGATTTAAATATTACACAATGTGCATATGTATCAAGATATAATATCTTGTCCATTAATATGTATAATTTTTATGTTTTTCAATATTGGTTAAAAATAAATTTATCTTAAAATTTAAAAATGCTTTTGTATTTTCTTTACTGACATACATCTTTAGTGTGTTATTACTATACTAACGAAAGTAGAATATGTTTGGGTCCCCTCACTAACTAAAGGATGTGCTTCAAATTTTTTAACTTAGAAACCAGGTGATAAAAGTTCCATTTCCAAACACATTTGTCAAACAGGGTGAGAAGCCAGGACAGAGTTGCAAAACTAGGGGGCACATCAATAAAGTGATCTTTGACTTTCCCTATTTATTTTTTATGTTTGTTGAAATCACTGAAGTTAGGGCCACTTTTAGCCTTTCTCTGGTCCAGTATCATAATATGACTGTGTTCAGCCTTCTTCCTGGTATTTCTGCCCATTGAACTACAGAAGAAGGACACAATCAAGAGTGAACACACGTTTCTAGATTCCTCATACTGGTAAAAATCATAGAAAAGCCCCTTATCCCTCCAATTTGAATCCTAACCACAGCCCCTCCTGACAGCTGTTAGCAGGAAAGTGCTTCTATATGCATCTTTCCACTGCATGCCCTAGCAAAAACCCTAAAACTAGAGATATGTTTTACTCCTTAAAACTTCCATACTTTCCAAGGTTTTTCACCAAATTCTCTGAAGAGAGAGAAAGAATAGGGGGTTTGATATCTCACTTCACTCTAACACCTATTTCATGTCTACCAGCACTTTCCACCAAATTTGAGTTCTGTGGTGGAATCATTCCTTGCTAATGGGTATTTTTATAGATTTGTTGAATTTATTTAATTCTGTTTCCATTAAAGGTTTTGGAGGTCTGGTTTTATGCCACCATTTAGAGTTCAAACTCTCTTCAAACAAAAATACCTCAATGTTATGTGGATGCCAGCACACAACAAGTGTGGGGATGGGGATGAATAAAAGTTCAGTGGGTTAGACAAAGTGGAAATGAAGGGAAAGGAGGAAGGATGGGAAGAGGAAAAACAGTAGAATAAATCACACATAACTTTCCTAGGTTCATAAATGAATATACCTCCAGTCTAACTCCACATCATGTATAATCGCAAGAATGGGGTCCAAATTAGGATAAGTTATACTCCATGTATGTATAATATGTCAAAATGCACTCTATTGTCATGTGTATCTAAGAAGAAAAAAAAAAAAGCCAGCCTCAGCAACTTAGTGAAGTATTAAGCAATTTATCAAGACCCTATCTCAAAATTAAAAAGAAAAAAAAATTAAAAGGGCTGGGAATGTGTCTCAGTGGTGAAGAGTCCCTGAATTCAATCCCTGGTATAAAAYAAACTGACAAACAAAAAACACATTATTTGGTTGTGCTTTTTATCCTATTATTTGTTTCGTCAGAAACTATAGTCTATAAAATTGTGGGGAAAAAAAGAAAGAAAAAAGAAGAAAAAGAAGTATAGGGTAATGTTCAGTTTTAGAAACGGTATTCTCTACTGTGAATCACCAATACCCAYTGAATGTGAACATTTTTTTGTTCATTCTTTGCATAAAGAATAAATTGACAAGCAAGATAACTGATGATAGAAGCACCATTTTTAGAGCAGTGTTTTTTCTTACCTGGGCTATGTTGATTGCATTTTGGATTCGTTCATCTTTCTCATATTCCTTTGTTATTTGTAATGTTTTCCATATCATGTTTCTAAATCCATCTTGTTCCTCATCATCCCGGAGTTCCCACAGCATTTTTACCATGTTATATACTAAGCCATAGTATCCAACAAAGACCACTTGGTGACCTGTTGAAATAGAAACATTCTTTGGAAAGTTTTTATTTTATTAATCTTACTGTAGTATAGCTAGGTGGGGAAAAAACAATTTTATCAAAATTCATAATAATAGTATAAAGTCTGAAATTACAAGCTTTGGCAATTTTTGACCCTTAACTGATTTTATTCCTTTGTAACAGCACACAATATCTAACATCCTAACCATTTGAAAATAACAACTGAACCCAACTACTACACCTCATAAATTAGAATATGCATGGGTAAACTGTGAACCACATGGAAAAACAAGTCCTTAAAATTCAACTGAAGAGGAATTTGCTTAAGGCAGGATAAACACATAATCTACAAGAGTGAATTTTTATAATAAATCAGGGGAAAAGGAAAAAATCACTTGCCATTGTAAAACAACAACAAAATAACAAAGTTCTATTAAACTTGGCATTTGAACCAAGAAGAAAACTTAAAATAATGCAAAAGGCAAAAAGAAATTACTGATACAATTATTATTTGGAAGATTTTTTAGATAATAAGGACATAAATAAATTGGAATAGGAGAAAAGAATACTGAATGCAAAGAAGATTAAAAATATCTAAGACACCTCCCTTTAAAACTTTTTGTAGCAATTAGCAATTTATATATATCATGAAGTTCCACTTTCAAAATATATACTCATCTTACAGAAAGGAGGAAGAAGTTTATATTTACTCTTTATATTAAGTATTTACTCTTTATCTTAAATATTTCTTACCTAGCTATGGTATACTGCTATGCAGCAATATTCAGAAAAACATAATTCTAATTTAGGTACAGATAGAATACATAAATAAGAGGAATAAAAAATGCACTCCTCAAAGGGGAGAAAAACTTATGTTATTCAAAGAGCAATGTGAAAATACTAAGTCTATTTGAAGAACAAGAGCAATAAAATGCTGAGAGAGGAAGGTTAAAAGGGCTTAAGAGCCCATTAAAATTCATGTTGCACTTTTCCTGAAAGTCCTGGTTATAGTCCATATAACACTGGGAATCATCAGTATCCTCCTTGAATAAGAATATAAGCACAACTTGAAAAGCCAGATCTTCAACTTTCGCTAATTCAATCTGATGTACTGGGGAATGATCTTGGCCAAATTATATTGTTATATTATGTGCATATACAAATATGTAGCAACAAATCCCACTGTTATTAACAACTCTAATACACCAAATAAATATGAGAAAATGAAAGTTAATGATAATAATTACTATTATAGCTAGCATGCATGGGAATGCCATCTAGTTGCCCCAGTTCTTGTGCTCACTACAGTCTTGCCATGTAGATCTTATTATCTTTAGAATGAGAAATTGGAATATATGAACCTATAAACATATGAACCTCCCTTGAATCAAAGAGCTGATAAGTGAGTGCCATCTAATCTTGTTCCATGAGGGACACTCTTTCCAACTCAGACAAATGCTTTCCTTTCCATAACCCACCTTCCATTCCATTCATACAAAAGGATGAAACTAGAAAGTAGAAAGAGGAAGCAAAAGAGAAAACATGTACACGTTTTAGAAATGGAGAAGGAAGGCATATTTCTAGTTTCCAATCTTTTTTTTTTTGAGAAAGAGAGAGAGAGAGAGAGAGAGAGAGAGAGAGAGAATTTTAATATTTATTTTTTAGTTCGGCGGACACAACATCTTTGTTTGTACGTGGTGCTGAGGATGGAAGCCGGGCCGCACGCATGCCAGGCGAGCGCGCTACCACTTGAGCCACATCCCCAGCCCTAGTTTCCAATCTTAAGGTACCTTCTACCCTTTCTATCATTGGTACTTTAAGAGAGAGTCAAAGATGCAAATATGAAGCTACAATGAAGCAGCTTCTTCTTGGGGAAATGTGATTTTCTCTTCATAACAACTTCATTCATTAAAACTGGTGTACTGCAATATTTGACAAGATATAAATACGAAAAATACCTCATATGAATGATTGGTAATTAACATTTTTGCTAGAAAATGAAATTTAATCAAGAAATACGAATTTACTTTTTAAACTACTTTCTTTACCCTTGGATGAAAGAAAGATAACCTGTGGCTTCAAGTAGTTAACGAGTCTAGAAACAGAATAATTTGTATGAGAAGGTAGAGGGCAACAGTTCATGAAAAGGTGATGGAATCAATCTACCAAAGCAAGGGATCAGTGAGAGCTGGAAGAGTGAGGAAGGGACTTAGAGAAGGTGAGACCTCGTCAGACCTTGTCTAAGAGGTAAACCTGGAAACAGAGCAGAGGAAGACATTGAGGGATATTTCACTGGGTGGACACCTGGAAAATGTTAGCGCTGTGAATAACTACATACTAACTTTCTGTCTGTGCTTTCCTCTTCCTGTCTTGTCCAGAATGCTTCACCATTGGTAATCTAGGTTGTGAAAAATGACTTTGTAAATCTATCATTTTGCTTCCCTGTTTACAACTTATCCATAGTCTTTTGTCCCTATGTAAATTCCAAATTGCATAGCCAGACAATCACGGCTCTGTCTTTCTAATCTTTCTGAAATACATATATTACAACTCTTTTATTTCCCCCCAACTTGCAAATATACTACATTAAGAAAAAAAGATTGAAGTTCTTGAATACACACTTAATTCTATCTTCYAGTCTTAATATAAACTATTCCATTGACTTAATCAGAAGTCATTCTGTCCAAAAATATTTCTATTACTATACTATATCCATTCTTCTGCATCTTTTCATTAAAAAATCTTCTCTGAAAGAGAATTGTGTCCATGGTTAGCTATTAGCTACATCCCTTGTACTTACTAGATAATAACATATCATATTATAATTGCCTATTTCACCTACAGATTCTAAACAATGGGAGGATGGGATTATATTTTATTCTCTCTTACGCTCCTAGCACTTACCATAATGCCTGCAACATAGTAGATCTAATTTCTAAAAGTATGTTCACTGAATAAGGGGAATAGACAGAGTAAAAAAGTGTCTCCATTTACCTGGGACTGGGAGGTTTCTTAAAGCACAGAGCTTTCAAGGACAAATAGGAACAGGGCTAAGTAAATCAGAACAGTTGGACCAGTAATAGGACTTCCAACAGAGAGGTAACAGTAAGGAAAGACAAGAGAAGATGATAGTGGGTATCTCAAATTGAGCTTGAGTGGAGAGTTCTTATTAAAATAGTTGAGATTCGATAGCTCAGGATAAATGGGGTCAGATTAAATGATGGATGTTTGAGCAAAGGAGTAATGTTATTCCTGCTCAATGCAGTGTTACGTCTAGTCTATTCAAGCAATAAACTGGGAAGCCTATATGGGAGTTTTATGAGGTAATCTAGGTCTTCACTATGATGAGCAGCAGGAGACTAGAAAGGAAGGGACAAACTTAAGATACCATGGCGAAGGTCTAATAAGACTTCTTGCTATGAGGGAGAAGAGGGAATGAAAGGCAAAGGAGAAGTTCGAGTTGAAGCTCAGGAGACTCAAACAATAATGAAACCACTTTAAAAAAATGAGGAGATTGTGAAGATAAGACAGTTCATACAAAGGAAATAAAAATGTGGAAAGTGTGGCATGGGTATGAGAGAATACAATTTTTAATAATCTGTAGCTTGTTAAAACATGGCTGAAATGCAAGTAAAATAGCAAGAGTGAGGGTATTGATTTGTGAAGCATTAGTGAAACATAATGCCTGAATTCAATATGAGAAATAATTTTGAGTTTTTACATGAATAATACTGGAATTGTGAGCTTCAGTAAAATAGCTTTCAAACAATATTATAAATAAAACATGCTGTGCATTTTAACTCATTTCTCATTTATTTAGATACTCCCAACATCTTTACATTGACAAGAATCGTTAAAGTACATACAAACCACCTTCCGTCCATATATTTTAAATTTGTTTGAAGATTAATGTTTGATAAAACTACAACTGTTTAATTATCAAAGTGGTATAATTTGATTTTAGAATTTGCAGGACCAATGTTGAGCCGTTAGATACTCTCTGATAATTATGTCTCAGTCTCACAATTTCTTTGAACATTCTTTTTATGAGTCTAAAAGTGAGCTTGTTCACCTGTTGACTTAAACACCAGTGAAGTATAGCTGATGAATAATATTTGTAGGGAGAATCTAATTGATTGACAGTAAATGAGGAAAAAAATCTTATAAAGACAGATGGTGTGTGTTGCAACTGTCATAAAAAGTAGACCGTGTTCTCATTTGCACGTCTAGACATTTGCTGAGAAGCATGCCTGCTCTGAAGTTCCTCATCCAGGGACCAAGCTGTAGCATAAGGCACTCTTCTGTTCTGCTTTCAGTGACCCTGTGGCAGCTATCAAAGATGTCACTTTAAATATACTGCAAGAAACAGGATCTGTGTCTACAGTTAAGCAGACAGTATCCTAGGAAATAAAAAAGCTGAACCAAAATAATAAATTCTTACAATTTATTAAGAAACTACTCTATTTGAAAACCAATACTGTGACCCTTTTCTGGTAACAATGCTACATATTAGTGGTTGTATTCCTTGGTAGCATTTAATTGCCACACTAGATGTATAGATTGCAAATATTCAGTGGACATGAAATATAAACATTTCTACTCATATGAATGTGCATAAATGACAACAGCTTTTACAATTTTGACAAATATAATTTGACACCACAGAATCAAAAGTGTCACTGAAAGGTAACTGGAATGTCAGCTGTGGTTCAAAACACTGTATGAAATGCCACGTTGCATGAAAGGAAGCAGATCAATGACCAGAGTTGGACAAGAACCAGTCATCCAGCCATGCATTTAACAAACACCTACTGTTCTTTGTACCAAAGAGAAAGCAACATTACTGCTTTGGGGATATTTAATTCTGGTGGAGAAAGACAGAAACTAAAAAAGTGTATTAAAAAATATCTATTCGTAATAAGTGTTATGAGAATAATGGAAGATGGTGATATGACCAGCAATAACCAGAAGAAAACACTATTATAGACAGTGAAAGAAAGACTTCTATGAGGA